AAAAACAGAACTACTGTATGACCCAGCAATCCCACTACTGGGCATGTACCCTGAGAAAACCATAATTCAAAAAGTGTCATGTACCACAATGTTCACTGCAGCTGTATTTACAATAGCCACGACATGGAAGCAACCTAAGTGTCCATCGACAGATGAATGGATAAAGAAGATGTGGCACATATAAACAATGGAATATTATTCAGCCATAAAAAGAAACAAAGTTGAGTTATTTGTAGTGAGGTGGATGGACCTAGAATCTGTCATACAGAGTGAAGTAAGTCAGAAAGAGAAAAACAAATACCATATGCTAACACATATATATGGAATCTAAAAAAAAAAATCTTTCCAAAGAACCTAGGGGCAGGACAGGAATAAAGATGCAGACGTAGAGGGGCTTCCCTGGTGGCGCAGTGGTTGAGACTCCTCCTGCCAATGCAGGGGACACGGGTTCGTGCCCCGGTGCGGGAAGATCCCACACGTCACGGAGAGGCTGGGCCCGTGAGCCACGGCCGCTGAGCCTACGCGTCTGGAGCCTGTGCTCCGCAACAGGAGAGGCCACAACAGTGAGAGGCCCGCGTACTGCAAAAAAAAAAAAAAAAAAAAAAAAGATGCAGACGTAGAGAATGGACTTAAAGACATGGGAAGGGGCAAGGGTAAGCTGGGATGAAGTGAGAGAGTGGCATGGACATATATACACTACCAAATGTAAAACAGATAGCTAGTGGGAAGCAGCCGCATAGCACAGGGAGATCAGCTCAGTGCTTTGTGACCACCTAGAGGGGTGGGATAGGGAGCGTGGGAGGGAGACACAAGAGGGAGGGAATATGGGGATATAAGTATACGTACAGCTGATTCACTTTGTTATACAGAAGAAACTAACACAACAATGTAAAGCAATTATAATCTAATAAAGATGTTAAAAGAAAATAAAGAGGGCAGAGCAAAAATATTTACTCAAATAAGCTGAAAAGGGAATGGAGCCACAGTTTATTCCAGCCAGAAACAAGCATATGAGTGTTCTGTGGTAGAGAATGCTACTAAGCTGAAGCCAGAAGAACCAGATTAGAATCACCAAGTTTTCTCATCTACAAATGTAGGAATTGTATTAAAGAGGCTCTCAGGTCCTTCAAGCAGTCAGAGTCTGTGATTCTATTTTAGGATTAAGGAGCCAAGGAATGGGGCCAAGGACTATATACAGAGCAGCGTTCAGACAGAACTGCTTCATCAAGGTGAGTGGGATGCAATTCAGTTCTTGTTTTCTGTTTGCCCCAACTTTTGCTTACTTTGTTTAATTTGTTTGCTTAATTTGTTAAAATTCCCCCGGGGCCAAATTGATTAAGTATTTAATCTAAGACCAGCTAAAACTGAATAACGGTGGAAAAACATCATCTCCCAAGATTACAATTTGTTATTTCATGCATGCAGGCAATAATTTAGCAAATATTTACCAAGCACCTGCTTTACGCAAGGCACTATGCTGTGGAGAATGTGCAAATGGGCAATTGCTGTCTGAACTTAAAATATGGTAGAGTGTCTTGCTCAGTAGGACATACACAACCAAAATCACGTAACACACATAACCAATATAAAATGGAGACGTTCCACAAGAGAGGTGCAAAGACCTATGGTGGAAGTATAGCTTTCTGGCTTGGAATCCTGGTATCAGCTTAAAGTGGTTAATTTATTTCCCTTCAGTTTCCTCATCTATGATATGGGGATAATAATAATACCTTTTCGTAAAGTTGTTGAGAAGATTAAATGAGATAATAGACAAAAGCAGCTTAAATTAATGCCTAGTACATAAGTAAAACCCGGTAAATGTTAGTAATCATTGTCATTATTATGGGAGTTTATAGGATTAAGTGGTTGATTTGACTCCAGAGAAGAAAAACAAATTTCCTAAGGATGTAGCATTAGGACTGGACACTGCGAGATGAAGTTGGACAGGAAAAAGGAAGAGGAAGGAGAAAAGAGAGGGACAAGAAGGAGGGAAATCGTTGCCATAAGAAGTAGTTCAGGGCTTCCCTGGTGGCGCAGTGGTTAAGAATTCGCCTGCCAATGCAGGGGACACGGGTTCGAGCCCTGGTCGGGGAAGATCCCACATGCCACGGAGCAACTAAGCCCGCGCACCACAACTACTGAGCCTGCGCGCCTAGAGCCTGTGCTCTGCAGCAAGAGAAGCAACCGCAGTGAGAAGCCGGTGCATCGCAACGAAGAGTAGCCCCGGCTCACCACAACTAGAGAAAGCCCACATGCAGCAGGGAAGACCCAACAGTCAAAAAAAAAAAAAAAAAAAAAAAAAAAAAGAAAGTAGTAGTTCAATTTGGCTGGAGCGGAAAGTTCCTTAACGAAATGGTGGTGTGAAATACAGTTCAGAACACCACTGCAGAAGTTTAATATAAATCATTTAACTTTTTTTCTATTAATTTCCCTTCATCCCCAGTCATGTCCTAGAAATATCAACATAGTTAAAAAATAGATCAAATATTATTATTAATATAGATATGTAGTCAGCATTATGTCCTCAATGGGTAGATTAACCCAAGCATCAGAGTCCAAAAACCATATGGGTTTTCCCTGACCCTTTCTGGAAGCAATTTGTCAAGTCTGAAAAAGCACTAAGAATTCTTAAGTCTAAGAATCAGAAAACAAGTGTCAGGCCAAGTTAAGGTCACTTAACCCTCCAGGCCTCAATTTCCTCTTAATAAAAATGTATGCTGCTATTACTTCAGGATGGATGGATAGAAGAAATACTAAAATGGTGGGATGGCCATTCTAGGAAGGGAAAAAACTTGCCAGCCTCCTTGAGTTGATATAAGACACAAATGCAATAATGGATGTGAACGTACGTTACATACCTAATAAGCATTACATAGAACACAAGGTATTCTTCCTACACATCACAGAAAGGCAAGAACTGCAGATGAGATGGTGGTGGTATGTGGTAAAAAGAATCCGGCTTTGTAGTCAGACCAACTTGGGTCTGAACCCTACCAGGTCCTGTCATTTACTAGCTCTGTGGCCTGAAAGCAAAATAGCCTGAACTGCTATGCTGCTTTTGTGCTATTGCTGGGATTTTATCAGACAGGCAATGTGAATCCTGTAATGGTGTTTCCCCTCACTGCTTCAGCCACTTGCAAGCAGTGCAGGATCTAATTACATTTCAGAAACTCTTCTCAGTTTCATTTTATTATTTCAACCCTTACTTCCCATTTTTGGATCATTGCGATATATATATATTTTTGAAAAGTGCCTCAGATTCTTCCCACCTGCCACCTTTTATTTTTTTAAATGAAGCATAGCCTAAAAATTAATTTAATCATAATTTTACCTTTTCCATCAGCCCCCCACCCTCACGCCGACAGCCCTAAACAGATTCTCTTGGACTTCTTGGTATGCCCTGCTTTTTGGAAGTGCTCAACACATGGTCCTTAAATTAATAATAACATTGAAAAGTTCACAATTTAACTGGCAAATATCAGAAATATCCAAACGCTGGTAGCCAAATCTAGGCCCAGTAAAAAGTAAATTTTATTATAGGTTTTCAGGACATTTTTAATACCAGTAATATTTTTAACGTGCTGAACAAATTCTAATTTTCTACATTTATCTGCATGTAATATATCATTTAGTCCTCACTGCATTCTTGTGGAATTGGTTTGGCAGGTATTATTTCTATTTTACACAGGGAAAGCGAGACCCACATGTCACTCCATGCTGTGGCAGAGCCACATTAGAACCAAGCCTTCACTTCTAACCCAGTGAACTTTTCATTCTGGCACACTGCCTCTGGGGAATTCTGCAAACAGGCTGCAACTTACTTTTTTTAAAACAATATGTAAGTGAATTAACAACGGGAACGTCTGCTGAAACATCATATATAATAACATATCCATCAATCAGCAAGATTTTCAATACGTTTAATACGTTTAAAATGTAGGTTTCATCAAATACTTTAAAAAATGGATCCATGTATGGAGGGCATGAAATATTTCCACTGTATTCCTGCCCTCCAACCTCATCTCGAATTAGTTCTCCACAGGACATATCCTAAAATATGATTATAAACGGAGTTCTCTATTTGAGGGAAAAGAAAGCAATGTCACAAAACGTGCAATGTAATATTTATCTCATGTACTCTAAAAAGCTATATATGGGAGTAGCTCCCTCTGCCTCCTGTCACACTCAGCCCAAGGGATGTTCCTGATTACCAAGTATAGAAAGCCCACATTAACTACTCGTCTTATTTTGGACATAGGTCAAATATTCATTGCTAATAAAATCCGATGGCTTTTACGATCCCTGGGTCGTGTGGATAAGGATTAACACCTTGCTAATACTTTTGTTTTCCATGAGAAAGTCAACGAAGCAACGAGGAAGTAACCTCTTAAAAGTAACTTATCTCTGATCAGTGCTACCAGTAATTACAGGATCACTAGCGCAACCTTTGAAAAACGGACGGCTGAGTATAAAAGTGTCCAAAGGGCATCTCGGGCTTGGCCAACCCAACCACAATCCCCGGAGCCAGGCGGGACAGAGCTGGGGGTGTTCAGTGCCCCAGTGCGCAAAGAAACCGACTGCTTGTCCATCCCCCAGCTTGGCGCGGGATGGGGCGGCGGCCAGGCAGGCAGGCAGGCAGGCGCCCCCCGCTCCCAGTGGCCGAGACCGCCCGTCCGCCGCCCGAAGGAGAGTGGGAGTGGACACGGGACTGGGCAGTGACCTTGACAACCCCTCCGCCGTCCGGGGGAGGCTCGGGGTGAACATGGGACCGGGTGGCGGCGTGACAGCCTCCGGGCGGGCCGGGGAACGCTCGGGGCGACTGCGGCGCTGGGGCAGAGGCGGGGTGAGCCCCTCCGCGGCCCTGAGAGGCTCGGCCGCGCGGGGTGCTCTCCGGGCGCCTCCAGAGGCGCACCCGGGGCGGGGCGAGCTCGGCTCGGGCCGGGGACGCGGGGCTCCGGGGGAGAGCAGTTGGGGGTCCGCGAGCGGGCGGCTGGCCCTACCTCCTCGGTGACCGTGGGGCAGTAAGAGATGAGCAGGAGCGTGGTAAGCAGGTTGATGGCGAGGCCCAGGAGGGTGATGGAGTTGGGGGCCATCCACAGCGGGATCCACTGGAGCAGCCAGGTCCAGTAGAGCTGCAGCGGCGGCTCAAGCAACGAGACGCCCGCGGCGCTGTAGCGGTGTTCCTCCAGCCGCCGCAGCTGCGCTGCGCTCAGC